CCCCGTGGGGCGGCCCTGCCACCAGGCTCGCACAAAGTCGGCCCCAGCCCTGCGCGCCGGCTGGCCGGGACTGCCCGGCGCTTGCAGGGTCCACTCTAGGCACGGATCCCAGGCTGTGGTCTGATGCCCGGGCCTAGGACAAGGCAGAGAAGCCGTGATGAGGAGCGAGAAAGGCGGGGACAGCTGGCCGCGCCCCCACCGCCAAGAGCTCGCCGTTCTCACCGGAGCAAGATGACCCCGGGAGCCGCAGCTTCCTGCATCATTTCTTAACACGCAACATTGTTTCCAAAGATCACCATGTAACATCCCGCAATAAACACTGCTCCCCCCACCCGCTCCTTAGCTTTAAAAGCAAACATTGAACAGTTTAGAGAGAACATTTCCATTCCGAAGGGGCTCACGTTGAAGGGACAGTTCACAAAGGCCTGTGCATGTCCCGGTACCCAGAGAAACTGTCACTCTGTTTGGACGGTTTACAGAAACCCCAGGGGGTTACTTAGAATTCAGAAAGGAAGCAACAAGTTGACCCCAGATCTCGTGTTTATTTGCACTTTACTGTATCCACATAGGAACAGGCGGTCCCCATTTGGGTTCGAGGTGCATATGTTGCCTGCAGTGACCACAAATTAGGAACGCCCTGTTGAAGGAAGCAGCGTGGTCCCCTCGAGCCCAGAACCCTGAATTCACTGAATGGACTTCGGCGGAAAGCAGTGTTCATGAAAGGATAACTAACTAGAATGTGCAAGTCTGCAACTCGCAGCCCTGTTAGCAAAGTGAAAGTCACCAAGCGATTGTCTCCTTGGAGTCACAGAAGATTTTTTTGGAGGAGTGTTTTATCAAGCACATTGCAGAATTTCAGTGCCTGGTGATGATGGCAAACTGTGGGGTCTGGATGCTTTTATCATTATAGTTTTAGTTCTCTCCAGATGACACATGGCCTGATTGCCTGCACCGGGCCCACTCCTGCGGCTGCATCTCATGGCCCTGCGGTGCCCGCCCCAGGGGCTTGGCCTGGGGGAGGACATGTGCCCAGTCAAACAGCTACGATGCCCGTGGACTCTGTCTCATGGCTGAGGAATGGCGGTTGGACAAGCAGGACTCACCCGCTGCGGGAGGCAGGCAAGGTTGGTACAACCACTCTGGGAAGCATTTGACCATGTCTGCGACGCCAGAGTGTGTGCTCACCGCAGTGGGCCGAATACATACCTCCAAGTCCTAACCCCTTAACCTGTAACTGTGACCTTCTTTGGCCAGAGGCTAATTACGTTAGGGATCCTGAGATGAGATCAACTTGGAATTAGGATGGACCCCAAATCCAATGACAAATGTCTATATAAGAGACACGCAGAGCAGAGACTGGAGCGAAGCGGCCACAAGCCAAGGAAGCATGGAGCCCCCAGGAGCTGGGAGAGGCAGGAAGGAGCCCACCCTGGAGCCCCACCCCCGAGGAAGCAGGGCCCTGCCCACACCTTGACTTCAGACCTCTGGGTTCCAGAACTGCAGGGTGATAAATTCTTATTGTTTTAAGCCCCCCGCCTCCACAACCGGTTTGTGGTCATTTGTCACGGCAGCCCCGGGAACCTCAAACACTCCCCTGCCCCTTGAAACCTCCGATGGGCATAGGCCCAAGGGAAACACACCGTCTGCCCACCAAAGACAGGTTCTGGAATGTTCCTAGCAGCTTTACTTACATCAGCCAAAAACCGGAAATAGCTCAAATGTCCATCGACAGTGGAGTGGGCTGGAGAAGTTGGGGTATTAATATATCTGCAGAACGGAGTTTCTGTGCACCCGCACAGAAGGACAAAGGCCACACTGTGACGGATCTCAGAGATGTGACACTGGGTGCGTGGGTCAGACACAGAGGAGGACAGAACTTACGAGAAGTTCAAGGATGGAATTGAAAACTGACTGGTGGTGGCAGGTGGCAGGGTGGGGCTCGCCTCAGGGGTGGGCAGTGTGGGGGAGGGGGCTGGTCCCGTTGTGTCATCGGCCCTGAGTAGCTGGTGACAGGTCTCTGTGTGCTGAAATTTAAAACAAAAAGTCTGGCTGAAGGCCACTCTTTCACTGCCCCCTCTGACCAGGAGGGCCAGAGGCTGTGCCGCGTGTGGAGTGAGCTGGGCACCCTCTGTCCCCCAGCATCCTGCAACACAGCCGGCCAGTCGGCAGCAGATCCCGAGGACCACAGGGAGTATGTGTGAGGGGTGGGGGCTAATTAATGATTACCCTCGACCCCTCCCTCCTGATAAATCCTGCATCCTGAGACAAGCCAAAGTTCTCCCCATGCCCTGTGAGAACCTGCCCAGTCTAGTGCCCAAGACTCCCCCTCATCCCACTCCAGCCACACGGGCCTCCTCCTGTGCCTCCGACACGCCAGGCACAGTCCTGCCCCAGGGCCTTTGCACGGGCCGTACCCCTGCCTGGAAGATAATTCCCACCCCCATTTCCACTCCTAGCTCTTTTAAAGAGTTACATCACATTATCTCATTTGCTGACTATAAACACTCCCATGGCTCCCTAGCACCCTAGAAATAAAATCCAAACTCTTTCCTATGCCCTTGTCCCCTCCCTGCCCTCCCCTCCTCCCTCTCTCTCCCTCCTCACTCTGCTCAGGCCACACAGGCCTCCTTGCTGTGCCTCCAACATGCCAGGTGAGTTCTGCCTCAGGGCTGTGCCCTTCCTGGGAACATCTTCCAGACACCCATGTGGCTCCCTCCCTCACCTCCTGCAGGTCACACATCACTTCCGTTGGAGGCCTCTGGTGACCTTCCTTCACCTAGCAGCCCCCGACCCCCAACTCCCGGCTCCCTCCTGCTGCCAGGTTTTCCCACGTGGTTCATCCCCCTCCTACGACCACGTGTTATACATCTATCCTGTCATCACTGCCCCAAATCCTCAGGAGCAAGGTTTTCTCTCTCTGAGCCATTGGTGTCCCCCTGGCTCCTGGAGCAGGGCCTGGCATACCGCTCCCCCCTCATTTGCATGCGACCTCCCTCATTTGCATGCGACCTCCCTCATTTGCATGCGACGTGGGGCCATCGTGCTGGTGGCCCTGAGAGCTGCCCTTTGTTCTGGAAAACTTCTTGGCAGCCAGGGCCGCTGCGCCCAGGAGAGCCGGTTCTTGGCTGCTGGGTTTGGGCAAAAATCAGAAGTGTCTCCAGACAAGGGCCAACAACATCCCTGGGACAAAATCCCTCCTGGTTGAGAACCACTGAGTTCCAGCCCCGTGAGCCAATGTTACATCCGGGTTTGTGGTTTATCCTACTAAGCCTGTCCTTGTGTTTGCACCAGAAACTGTGACCAGTGAGGGCCTTGGAGAAGCAGAGCTCGGGTGGGAGGGGTGGGCGGCAATCACGCTGGTGCCCTGGCCACATCACCCTAGCCACGTCACACCCCCCACTGTGACTGATGCCTCCCAGTGGCTCCCTGCTCCGGGGACTTGTCTTAGGAGGTGTCTCCTGGGGAGATGCAGCGATTACAGCCTCCTCCCCAGGTGTGGGGTGAAGCCAGCGACACACAGGTCTGGGGGTACCAGGGTACAGCCCACACTGCGGCCTCACTGCGACCACATCTCTGTGTAGCGCCCCCCCTGCCCCCAGCCTTTGACCCAGTTCCTCAGGCTCTGCCCCCAGGGAACCCACTCCCAACTTGAACATGGGGTGTTCTATGTTTTTTGTACACTGTTAGATTTGATTTGCTGTTTTTTGTTTAGGTTTGTTTGCATCTATATCCAGGAAACAGGCTTCCTTTCTTGTTCTGTCTTGGCCTGATTTTCTTATCAGAGTTCTGCTGGCCTCGAAAGAAAAGAAAGAAAGGAAAGGAATAAAAAAGAAAGAAAGAGAAAAGAAGTAAAGAAAGAAAGAAAAAAAAAAGGCCAGTTGTGGTGGTTCATGCCTGTAATCCCAACATTTTGGGAGGCCGAAGCGGGAGGATCACTTGAGGCCAGGAGTTCGAGACCAGCCTGGGCAACATAGCAAGACCCTATCTCTATAAAAAACAAGAAAAATTAGCTAGGTGTGGTGACTCACGCCTGTAGCCCCAGCTACTCGGGAGGCTGTGGAAGGAGGATCACTGACAACTTGTTCAGGAGGGAAGCCACGTGGTTACGGACAAGCATTTCCCGGCTTTGCATCCACCTGGGCCACCTGGCCAGACCTCGTGTGGGCGAATTTGCTGCTCTGGGCCTGTTTCCTCATCTGTAAAATGGGGCCAGTCCCGATCCATGCCTGATCACGTGGGACAGTGCCCCGCAGCCCCTCGCCCGGCTCCCGAGCACACACAACGCGAGAGCTTGGTCCAGATGAACTTTATTGAGCCTCCTCCTAGCACACCAGGTGTTTCATGCGCCAGCAGTGCGGCAGGCACCCGAGCCTGTGCCTGTGGTGGGGCCAGCTGCAGATGATCTCGGTGGTGGACTCCGAGACATAGTCCAGAGAGGTCTCTGAGTGGCAGGGGACCAGCTCCGGCACAGAGGAACTGCTGGTGAGTTTCTTGGAGCACTGCTTCGGACGCTGTCTGTGGGTCTCGGGGGCGGCGTCCCCTGGCTCGTCGGGGGCCTTGATCGGGGGCTGCGTGGGGCTGTTGGTGGGGCTGTTGGTGCCACTGGGAGGCTGGACAGGGGATGGCACCTGGCCAGGGGTGGCACTGGGAACCTGCGTGTTTCCTAAGGACTGGTGGGCCGGGTGCGAGGGGCCCAGGGAAGTGACGGAGGACAGCTTGTGCTGCTGGGGCCGGCCGGAGCTGCCTCGCGCCCGACACTTGCCCCGGGCCTTCCTGGGCGGCTGGGAGCCACTGCCAGAGCCAGAGCCCAGCTGGCCATGGGACCCGGAGCTGTGGGTGGCCGAGGAGTGGGACTGGGAGTTGCCCAAGGTGGCATTTAAGGGGGCCCCCGTGGTCTTGCCAGCACCCGAGGGGCCGGTGGGAGGCTCTGCCGGGGGTTCTGTGGAGGCCTCTGTGGACCGCTGGGGTCTTGATGCGCCCTCCTTCTCGCCAGCCGGCAGGTCCTGGGCAGGGCTGGGGGGCGTCTTCACTTGTCCTTCTGCAGTGGGGTCAGGTTTGCCTTGACTGCAGAGAGAGGGCAGGCAGCGGTGAGGCAGGTGGGAGCCTGCTGCAGCCCTGGGGCTCTGCTGGGCTGCTGGGGACAGAGACCGAGCCTGCCCAGGGAGCTTGGGGTCGACTCAAGGGGCCAGGTGGCCAGAGTCCAGCACACATAGGCACACTCTCACACTCACCCACAGGTGGACAGGTGCACACACACTTGTACACACCCATGCGTATGCTCACCCATGAACAGACAGATGCACAGGTAGCACCCCCAACACACACACTCACACACATGCACACAGAAGAGCGCGAGCACACCCATGCACACATGCACACACATATACAGGAGTGCACACTCGTGCACACACTGTCACAGCTCCTACCTTCCCCCTGGTCGGCTTCAAGGGCAGCCGACGGCCCGGCCACAGCCGCTGGGGCGATGTGAGCCCGGCTGCGGGCCAGGGCCTGCAGGACTATTTCCCGACAGCGTGAGGGAGAGAGGCGGACGGTGAGAGAGGCGCAGAGACGCCAGACAGAGGGCGGTCAAGGGCAGGAGGGGAGGCAGGGTGGAGAGACATGGGACAGACAGACAGAAAGGCCGAGACCCAGGAGACAGACAGATAGCCCGGCGCCCAGCAAGCACGCACCGCCCCTGGTTACTCCGGCCGCTGTGTCCAAGGCTTGCCCGCTGAGCTTGCTCAGGACGCTGTCCACGGCCGTGTGATGTTTTAGAAATAGTGGTCGCACGACGCGGTGGTATAGCATGAGAGCCCCGTTCCACGGCCCGGGCATCATGCAGAACAACAGGAAGGCGCACTGGGGAACAGGGCCGGGGTCACACTCAGCTCTCACCTGGCGCGATGTCCCTGGCCGGGACGAGGGCTATGCCGACCCACTGGACACCCACCCTGGGCAGGAACTAGGTCTCCACCCTCAGACGGCCCCCAGGGAAGGGGCTGAGTCTCTTCTGCACACCTCCAGGCTGGTGGACCCGCCCCTCCCAGCAACGACCCGAGTCCCGTGTCCCGCGCGGCACAGGCACCCACCTTTCCCACGTAGTAGAAAGGGAACCAGAACAGGAGTAGGTCGCTGAAGAACTCGACCAGCCCGAACAGGGCGTACACCACCCAGTAGGTCAGCCACACAGTGTCGTCGTCTTTGCTGGGGCTTTCGATGGCTTTGATTCTATGGGGAGGCGGCAGGTTGGAGGGCTGCCCTGGGACCCCACCCCCACCCCATCCCCACGTGGGCAGCCAGCCCCCTACTCACGAAGCATATGCGGGGTATGCAAATCCGATGACATTGCACAGCAGAGAAGCTCCGTAGCCAAACAGAAGATAGAGGCTTAGCAGAGTGCCGGCTCCTGTGGAGAGAGGTGGGGGTGGGCTGGGGCCTGGGCACCCCCTGCGCCAGGACGGCAACACCACCCTGAGCCCCCACAGAGCTTAGAGCTCCCCTCAGACAGGCAGGGAGCCCCACCCTGAGCCACTGCTCGGCAATGCTGTGGGCACAGAGTAGCTGCCCAGTGAACATTTGTTGAATGAATAAGTGATCATCTGCGATTATATTAATTACTGTCTCATTCCAGGCCCCATGGGAGGGGCTGGCAATAAGAGGCCAGTGTTTGAATGCTGTGATGGGTGTTCCCTAAACAGAAAGCTGTGCTAAGAAAGGCCAGTGTTTTAACCTGTAGGGTTTCTCTATCTCGACACTGCCCACTTTTGGGCCTCCGCCATTCTCGTTTTTCTTTTTTGAGGTGGGCGTGTCCTGGGCACTGCAGTGTGCTAAGCAGCATCCCTGGCCCCCATCCACTCATTTAAGGAGCACCCCCAGTCATGACAACCACAAATGTCCCCAGACATAGCCAAAATCTCTGGGGGGCAGCATTGCCCCCTTTGAGGACCCCTGTCTTATTGGGAGGCGGCGAACTCCTCCCTCCGCCCCCCAGGCCTAGGAGGGCCCTTACTCTGCCACCCTGAGCATGGCTCTCTCCGCACAGAGGCTTGGTTTCCCCACCAGGAAATGGGGTTGGCGATGACCCCTGCCACCTACAGTTGCTAAATGTGACTCAACAGAGAGAATGTCTCCTCCTTCCTACAAATTTATTGGGCGCCTACTGGCCACCATCTCATACTCCCAGCAAGGAGGGTTCAGGGGGAAACGTGTGCATGGGGCATGACCAGGAGCTGCACCACAACTCTGCGCCCGTCTCTGAAAAGAATAACCATCGCTGCTGCATTTATTATGCACCAGCTGTGTGCTGGCACTGTGTTCCCCCTGCTTTAGCTCATGCAACAGGGGGGAGGTGGGAGGAGGGCTGGCAAAGGCCATACAAGGAGCCTCAGGGCTCCAGAGAGCTGGGGCACTCCCACCCTCCTCCCCGGGCTGTTATCTGCAAAGAGAGAGAGAGAGGCCACTTCTGGACCAAAGGGCAGAGGCCCAAGTCACCCCCACTCTTCCGCCACCTTCATTAGGCTTTACCCTCAAGCTCCGGAGGGCAGGAGGGGGAGGGCCCCCAGCTGGCCCTAGGAGGCTGGCTGACCTCCTGGACGCTGTTATCTCTTCCCTGGGGGTGCGGGATTTGGCCATGGTGGCAGGTGAGGTCCAAGGGTCGCCACGTCGGGGACAGGGGGGTGAGGGAACGTCCCCTCTTCCCTTTCCAGTGGGGGAAGAGGGGCTCTCCCAGGCCATCCCTGCCCTAAATCCCCTTTTCTGCAGCCTCAGCAATGAGAGGATGAACTTGGATTTAAGGACTGTGGGGTGGGGGGGAGGCCCGGCCCCAGAAATCTAACCCCAACACTAACTCTTGGATTTCAGGACTGGTGGTGAGCCCGCCCCAGAGATCAGCCACACACAGGACTGGGGGTGGGGGTGGCATGAGGGGGTGGCATGAGGGACAGGCACAGAGACAGCCTGCCACTCAGCCCCTGCCTGCCCATGCCTCAGTTTCCTCCCTGGCCACAGAGCCTCCCCAGCTACCCCACCCCACCCCCAGGGACGTGGAGAACAAGGGCAGATGTCCAGGGCCTGCTCCCAGGGGCAGGCACAATCCCTGGGGGCCTCCGGGGTGTGGGCACAGATTTCAGATTGTCCTTGGGCTGCCTGGTGTGGGAATCCCCCAGCGGGTGGGAAAGTGGGGGGGAAACTGGACTCCCGGAATCTGCCCACTCTCAAAACTCATCGCACCGCTGTCCACCAGACTGACTGCCCCCGGCCCCCAGGGTCCAGACAAAGGTGTGGTTCATTCCGGGGAGACTTCCTGGAAGAGAGGGCAGAACCAGAGGGCACCACACCAACAGGGAGGAAAGGAACAGGAAGAACCCCAAAGGAGTTGGGGGTTGTACTCCGCTCCAGGGGCCAAACCACCCACCTTCCACTCAACACGTATTTACGTGGGACCGGGCCAGAGCTGGGGAAAGGGGAGAGCGCAGGTCAAGGGGCCGTCTGGTCCAGGTAGGGAAACAAGGGAAGGTCTGGGCAGCCCCCCGGGGGTCCCTTCCCCTCCGGGCCTTGGGTCTCCCCTTGGAGAAGCGGGAAGGTCTCTGATCCAGCTGCCACGCGGGGTCCGGCGGGAGGGGGCGGGGACACACACAGGGCACCCCATCCCCCGGGTGGCCGGGCAACTGGAAGAACCGGACTTCGGCCTGGAGGGCACCCGGGCCCGAGGGAGGGACGGAGGGCGGCGGGGCCGAGGCTGGAGAGGGGGTGGCCCGGGCCCAAGGGAGGGGCTGCGGCGGACCCCCGGACCCCCGTCCGAGACCCCCCACCCCCCGATCTCGGTGTCCCCGGGATGGGGCGGGGCGGGTCCGAGAGCCGGCGCCCACGGCCTCCGCGTGTCGGGCGGCGAAGTGGGCGCGCCCGGGGCTCACCTGCCGCTAGATAGCGCTTCTCGACCCCCGTCCTGGCTTCGAGCGCCCGGAGCGCATTGGTGACCGGGTTCCTCTGTTCCAGAAGACTCTCGAAGCGCTGGCGCAGGCCGTCCATGGCCCCGGCCGGTCCGGCGCTGGCAGCCGGAGCTCGCCCGCCGCCCTGCGCACCGGCCCCGCCGCGCGCGCGCCTCCTTCCCCCAGCGCGAGCCGCTCGGCTCGGCCCCGGGGCAGGTGTCCGCCCCCCGGCCCCCGCCCAGGCCAATGGGAGGGCAGGGCGGACAAAGGAGGTGGGGCCTGCCCCGTTTCCCCGGCCGCATTGCCCTCTGGCGGGCCGCGGCCGCAGCTGCAGGGAAGCGGCCCGCAGGGGGCGGGGCCCGGCGGCCAAGGGTGCCGATTGGCCGAGCGGGAGCGGGACGTAGCTTATTGGAGGGGCGGCGTCAAGGTCGGGGATTATTGGCTGCGCTGTTGAATGGGGTGGAGCTGGGGGGGGTAGGAGAGGAGTTGGGGGGGGGAGAGCGGAGCTTGTGGGAGGGGCCGGAGAAAGGCCAGAGCTGATTGGAAAAACGGGAAGGGATTCCTTGACGAGACCAGAGCAGGGGGCGGAGCCTATCATGAAGAAGGCGGTGAGGAACCAGAGGGGCGGGGACAGGGCGGGGCGTATCGGAGGAGGCGGGACTTACTCGGAAGAACAATTTTGGTTGGACCGCATAGAAGGCGGGGCTGATTTTCGCAGGAGGGGTGTGTGAGGAAGTGGGCGCGGCCAAATCTTTATGCGTGGTCTGTCATAGCAACAGTGAACCCGCTCCTCTGGCCGAGATTTCCGTCCTGGTACAAATGGGGAGACTGAGGCTCCAGAGGGCGTGGGTCTGCGGAGATCAGGACGGTCGTGTGTCCCTCCCTCCACTTCGGGCTGATCTTCGCGTCCCTCCTGGGAGGGGGTATCTGCAAGGTCCCCTGGCAGGTGTAGGCTGTTGCGTTGCCATGGCGCCGGGGGCCGGGCGGGCGCTTGGGCCGACTCGGCGGTTTGGCCGGGGGAGGGGCTTTGGGAGGCCCCGCCCCGGCCCCGCCCCCGCCGCCATGCGGCCCGCCCCGACTGCGTTGTGGCTGCGCCTGGCTGTAGCCGTGGCCCTGGCCCTCGGTGGACCCCTGGCTGCGCGGTGGGCCTCTGCCCCGGCCCCCATCTACGTCAGCAGCTGGGCCGTGCGGGTGTCCCAGGAGGGCTACCAGGAGGCCGAGCGCCTGTCACGCAAATTCGGCTTCGTCAACCTGGGGCAGGTGGGTGGGACCCGGATGGACGGGTGTGGGGGAGGGGGAGGTCTCGGCGCCCCCAGACCCAGACAGATGTGAGGGAGTCCCTAAGGCCCCCCAAATATCACGACCCCCAGCCCATCCCTGTTTCGGCCAGTCTCAGCTTCTGGGACTCCCCGAGGGCACGCGAAGTCCCCACCTGGGCGCCAGGTGAGCGGAGGGTGCAAGCGAGGGAGTGGTACCCATCCCCGGGGGGCTCCCTCAGGGGAGCCACTTCCCAGCGGTGCGGCTGCCTCTCCTGCTTCCCAGATCTTCCCTGACGGGCAGTTCTTCCACCTGCGGCACCGGGGCGTGGTCCAGCAGTCCCTGACTCCGCACTGGGGCCACCGCCTACGCCTGAAGAAAGACCCCAAGGTGAGCCTGGCCTTGAGGCGGCCCCCCTGGGGCCTCGGTCCCCTCCTGGGGTCCACTAGCCACCTTCAGTTATTCTTGTGATTGTCACGAATGGCCGTGTGGCCTTTGGCAGGTCACCTGCTCTCTGCTCTCTCTGCATCTCGGGTCCACTGGGGCCCCCAGTCTGTCCAGTGGGGACCCAGGCAGGGAACGTGTGAGGACAGCAGGGCACCTACACAGGGCACCTCCTGCCACTCCCCCTTCTCCCTCTAGCACACCCTGACAGATGAAGGGCCACAGATACTCCAGTAGGGAGGAACAGATAACATCCCATCCCCACCACCCAGCTCATAGGACAGAGGGAAGGGTATTGGCTCATTTTACGACACAGGGATCAGTTCCAAATACTGGGAGGCCTGGAGTCATCCAGTGAGTCTGTGGCTGTCGTGGGATCAAAACCCAGTTTCCAGTCGCTCAGAGAGGTGCCTGGGCCAGGCCCCCCATCACAAAAAGGCTTTGGATGCCATGCTGGGGAGTTGAGACCGAGTCTGGCAAGCCCCAGGGAGCCAGGAAGGGGTGTGGGCCCAGCTTCAGGGCTGCGGTCCCACTGGTGACCAAGAGAAGTGGCCAGTTCATGATGTGGTTTGCAAGAGTGAGGCTGGGGCTTGCAGAGGAGAGAAGAGGGAGAAGTCAGGGCCAGCTGCCAGATCTGAAACTGAGCAACGTGGCAGGAGAGGGCCCCAGACACTGAGATGTGGGAGTGGGGGGACGTGAGCTGGTGTGGGATGTAAGAAGGAGGAAGGGCCAGAGTTTGAGGAAGAGCAGCCCAGGCAGGCAGAATGGCATGTGCAAAGGTCCTGGGGTGGAAATGGCTTCAAGTGCTCTTGGGACATGGAAGCAATCGCTGTGGCTGAGCAGTAGGGAGGCCGTGGGGCTGGACAGGCAGGGCCTTGGGGGCAGTGGACAGGTAGTGGAGAGCCACAGGAGGGTTTCAGCAGACAGCGACGCTGCAGGTTGTAGAGAGGCAGGGGCAGCTGGAGGACCAGGGAGGAGGCGGGAGTGGCCACCCAGTGGTGTCCTGGTCTGGGGAGGCGGAGCTAGAGGGAAGTGGCCAGTTTAGGAAGTTATGTGGGAGAGAAGTGGACAGAAGGACAGGAGCAGGCAGGAGGGATGGGGTAGGCTTGTGACCCAAGGACCCCCAGTCATGCTGGGCAGTGGCTACGTATCTGTGGGCCTGAGGGCGGGTGGTCCAAGAGCCTCAGTCACCTCTGACTGAAGACAGAGCCCCAGGCACGTGAGGACCCCGGAGAGCAGCCCCAACAAATGTGGGGTCCCATAACAAGGACTGACACGGAGGCCCGCAGCCCTCCCGTCTCCCTTCCCGCACTTCGAGGGGCCCTGGGGACAAGCAGCGGACAGTCCAACTGCACGTCTCCCACAGGTGCAGTGGTTCGAGCAGCAGACGCTACGGCGGCGGGTGAAGCGCTCCTTGGTGGTGCCCACGGACCCCTGGTTCTCCAAGCAGTGGTACATGGTGAGCGACTGGGCCCGGGCAGGTTGGGCAGGGCAGGCCACAGCCCCCCTGACCCCAGGACCCTGCCTCGCGCAGAACAACGAGGTGCAGCCGGACCTGAACATCCTGCAGGTCTGGAGCCAGGGGCTGACTGGCCAGGGCGTCGTGGTCTCCGTGCTGGATGACGGCATTGAGAAGGACCACCCGGACCTCTGGGCCAACTACGTGAGAACTCGGGCGGCCCGGGCTAGGGGCTGCCCCGTGTCCTCAGATCGGCCCCTACCCTGGGGACGCCTCACACCCCCTCACGTCCTCACCTGTCCCCAGGACCCCCTGGCCAGCTACGACTTTAATGATTACGACCCAGACCCCCAGCCCCGCTACACGCCCAGTGACGAGAACCGGTGAGCCTGGGGTCCCACGGTGCCTGGGGGTGGCTCCCAGTGCCCTGTGGGGGCCAAGGGCTGTGACAGTGCCCCTCTCGGCCCTGGCACCAGGCACGGGACCCGCTGTGCTGGGGAGGTGGCAGCGATGGTGAACAACGGCTTCTGCGGTGCAGGTGTCGCCTTCAAAGCCCGGATTGGAGGTACCTGGGGTCCTCCAGAGGCTCCACTTGGGGACAGAGGCTGGAGGGGGTGACACTGGGGAGAGCTGGACAAGCCGTCTGGGGAGGAAGATGCCTGTGCCCACCTCCTCCTCCCTGCTGCAGGGGGAGCTGAGCCCACAGGGAAGGCCCCACACCCACAGGGCAGAGAGAGTGCGAGGGAGGGGTTGCGGGGGGCGGCGGGATGGCAGGACGCGGCAGTGGGCCTGCGAGGGCACAGGGCGTGGGGCCGGCTGGTCGGCAGCGGCCCGGGCGCCTGTGCAGGTGTGCGCATGCTGGACGGCACCATCACCGATGTCATCGAGGCGCTGTCGCTGAGCCTGCAGCCACAGCACATCCACATCTACAGCGCCAGCTGGGGCCCCGAGGATGACGGCCGCACGGTGGATGGCCCCGGCATCCTCACCCGCGAGGCCTTCCGGCGCGGCGTGACCGAGGTGGGTGAGTGGGAGCCCGGGCCCCGGCCAAGCCTGCCCTTGCCCAAGGGCTGGGCCGATGCCGCCCTCCCCACATGTCCCCCTGCCACCCCGCAGGGCCGCGGCGGGCTGGGAACGCTCTTCATCTGGGCTTCGGGCAACGGCGGCCTCCACTATGACAACTGCAACTGTGATGGCTACACCAACAGCATCCACACGCTGTCTGTGGGCAGCACCACGCAGCAGGGCCACGTGCCCTGGTACAGTGAGGCCTGCGCCTCCACCCTGACCACCACCTACAGCAGCGGCGTCGCCACCGACCCCCAGATCGTGAGTGACGCTCCCGACGGGGTCTCCCCAGCCTCCCTCCTGTCCCCCAGCGGTTTGTCCCTGTGCGGATGAACTGCATAGAGCCACGTTAGCGCTCAGGGCTTCAGGGCACCGTCACCAGCACAGTGTACGCAGCGCCCGATGGGTCATTTTCTAATCTCTCACTCCTCCCTGAAAGCCGCTTTTAAAACCCAGATCCAATCCCATCAGCCTGGTCGGAGCCCCCTTCTGGCTCCCTGTGGCTCTTTGATGACACCAAGCCCTGTGCCCAGGCCACTGCTGTGCCCTGTCTCACTCCCTTACCAGAACCTTCCGCCTCATTCCACCAGGCTACTTCGGCCTCAAGGCTGCTATGGAGGCCCTTCCCTCTGCCCTGAATGCTTCTCCACCTTCTGCCCACCCTCCCGGCTCTTCCTTCACACCTCCACCCAAGGGCCGCTGCCTCCAGGAAGTCCGCCCAGACTTCTTCCCCACGCTGGACCAGTCCCCCGCACGAGGTTCCCTGAGGCTGGGACAGGAGGGACTGGGGCCTCCCTCAGGCTCCAGGGCCAGACACGTAGCAGGTGCTCTCCGAACACCAGCAAACCTGTTTCCTCCCAGGGCTGCCCAGTGGCCCCTGGCACACAGACCTGGGGCCTAGGACCAGGCCCTCCTGCTGCCGCTTCGCCAACCCCCATGTCTCCCAGGCAGGGCTGGCTTCCGGGCATGTGGCCCAGCAGGGACTTTCTGAACTCAGTCTTTAGTGCTTTTTGATCTCAGTTCTTGTATTTATTGAGCTTAGTTCTTACTTTTCAAACTCATCCTTGGTACTTTTGAGCTCAGTCCTTGGTACTTACTGAACTCGGTCCTTGGTAGTTTTTGAACAAGGGCTGCATTCTCACTGTGCACTGGGCCCCCCGAGGCCTGCCACTCTCTGCCCTCAGGTCACCACGGACCTGCACCACCAGTGCACGGACAAGCACACGGGCACCTCAGCCTCAGCCCCACTGGCCGCGGGCATCATCGCCCTGGCTCTGGAGGCCAAGTAGGTGATGGTGGGGGCCCTACCCGCTGTCCCACCCCGCTGGGCACGGGCCTAGGCTCATCGGCCCTCCCCCCTCAGCCCACTCCTGACGTGGAGGGACATGCAGCACCTCGTGGTCCGCGCATCCAGGCCCACGCAGCTGCAGGCCGAGGACTGGAGGACCAACGGAGTGGGGCGCCAAGGTGCGGCGGGG